CCCCAAAACCCCAAAACCCCAAACCCCAAAACCCCAAAACCCCAAAACCCCGTCAAATACTTTAAAAATTGCAGGAATTTTAAATAAATTAAATTTCAAAATTTGCAGTAATTCAAAATGGCTATCTTGAAAGACGACACTTCATACACCCATGTAATCGCTATTGACTTCGGAACTGGCGCAAGTGGGTACGGTATTGCCCCGATGCTTGTGGAAGCCGGCCAAAAGCCAAGGATAGAAGTCTTTAATCCTTGTGATGACCTGGATGACCAGAAGACTTCTACAGCAATTCTTTTTGACGATGAGGGCAATTTCTTGGCTTTTGGAACCCATGCTTTGCAGAGGTATGCAGAAATTCTTGATGATGAAGAGTCAGCACTTTTGTTCCAGAGTTATAAAATGCATCTTCTACATATGGATGAGAATGCTGTCTCGTTGGATGCAAGAGAGTTACCGCTAATGAAGGTCATTTCAGAATCATTAAAGTACATTGCAGATAAGGCAGTTGAAAAGCTAACTGAGCAGATCGGCAAGGTAATAAATTCTAAAATTAGGTGGGTTCTGACAGTCCCAGCTCTCTGGGGTGAGGACCACAAGCAGTTCATGAGGAAGGCAGCTATGAACGCTGGTATTATCGACAGTTTAAATTCTCCCAACTTGTTGCTTTCACTTGAGCCTGAAGGCGCATCCATCCAGTGTAGAGAAGATGCTGAAGAGAATATTAGAAATAGTCTTGATAAAGACAAAATCGTTATGGTTCTTGACTGTGGAGGTGGAACTGTTGACATCACGGTCCATAAGCTCATGTGTGAGCCTGAAGAGAACTTCTTGTGTGAAGAGTTCCTCCCCTCTAGTGGTGGCTGTGAATGGGGGTCAAAGTATGTGGACGCACACTTTGAAAAATTCCTAGAAAAACTCTTTGGCGAAGAGCTATACGCTGATTATAAACGGAATGCTTTAGCAAGGCTTGAGATTTTGAAGCATTTTGAAATGCTGAAAAGAAAATTCAACCCAGGGAAAGAGGAAAGATCTCGACTCCAGTTGTCTTATTTAGGGGATGACCTCAGCTCTTCGAGGCTGAAGGAGTTGATTGAGGAGTGGAACAGCAATATTCCTGACCCATTGATACAGCTTAAGAAAAGAGGAGCCAGTGGGATTGACATTCCACCAACTCTCATGAAGTCCTTCTTTGAACCTCTATTCGAGAAAATTACTGAAAAAGTGAACGAGCTAATGCAGGAATCAGTAAGTAGTAAGGGAGAAGAGATAAATTTCATTTTCATGGTTGGAGGGTTCTCTGAGTCTCCGTATCTCAAAGCAGTCATTAAAGAGACTTTCGAGAGGGAGGACCTCCACATTCTCGTGCCAAGGAGGCCTCAGGTCTCTGTTATTAGGGGAGCATGCTTGTTTGGTATTAATCCAAGATCTATTACCTCCAGAATCTCTAAGAAGACCTATGGAATCAACACTTTGACCACTTTTGATCCAGAGAAACATCCTGAGGAGAAGAAAGTGATTATTGAGGGCGAGGAGTTCTGAGAAGATGTCTTTGATGCCTTTGTTAAGAAGGATCATTCTGTAGGAATCGACGAGGTACATGTCAAAACTTATTGCCCAGTCAGAGCTAGGCAAACCGTCATGAGAATTATTTTCTACTGAACAGAGCAGGAAGATGTGCTTTTTATTGATGATGAACATGTTGAACAGTTAGGAGAGCTCTCTATTGATATTGGAAGACCATTCCAAAGTGTGGAGGATAAGACAGTCAAAGTCACTTTAGTATTCGGAGCAACCAACATTTCAGCAACTGCAACTAACTTTGAAGGAACAGAATTACGTAATTGAGATTTTAAATTTGAGTCTTCTTAATCTTGCATCAAATAATGTGAGTAGGCATATTTCAAAAAGTTTAAAAAAGTTGGGGTTTTGGGGTTTTGGGGTTTTGGGGTTTTGGGGTTTTGGGG